TTCGTGCGAGACCTGGTGCGTCTCAGCGCGTACCGCGCCACTCCAGCCGTGCGCGCGGCGGCGACTGCCGGTTGGGTGCGGCGGTGGAGCATGCTGTCAGTTGCGGTGCAGCAGGCAGTCGCCAGTACTGCTCTGGGCGGCGCCTGGCTGCAGCCGCTGCAGCCGGAGGCCGGCGAGGGCCCGCCGCTCGACAGCATCCTCCACCATGCCGCCTTAGAGGGCCACAGCCGCTTGCCCTTGCGGCCCTAGCGAAGGACCGCGAAGGGGCAGCTGCAGGCGGCTCCGGTAGGAGCAAAGAGACTTCTCCGGCAGGCGGAAAAAGGCGTGTGAAAAAAAATGAAACAACAATCCCCAGCAAGCGCGCTTGTCGATGTTGCGAAGCAGACGATGAATGCAGATCAGGGCATGAATGTTGTGTTTGTATCGATGCAAACTCATGTATGTTTCAACGCAAGTGCAAACCAATACCGCATTAATGTGGCGACACGCTTGCCGAGATAGGCAACTCGTTCCCGACATCTTTGCATGCTGGACAAGCAGTGGGGTGGACACCAAGGTTCCGAGTAGGCTCACGGTATATCTGCGTGGGTTCCTCCCGCACCACTCTGCATCCGCCTTCCCTCACAAGCATTCCTTGGTCCAGGGAATTCACGACGGTGGAAATACCCCCTTCTGCCGGGATCGCATCGTCTCGAGGATACTGAGTTAGGTACAACCCATACCAGGACATGCCCACGGCATTCTGCAGCATCGCCTTCGTCTGCCAGTAGCTATGTTCCCGCTGCCGCGGGATCGCGGATATGCACAATTGCCCCAAGCTCGTGGGATCATATGCATTTGTTTACTTTTTCCATGTATGCCGCACAAGCTCGAGGTCGCGAGGTTTCGCATGTTGTATAGAGAAACATGATATGGACATGGCAAGCAACGCTTCGGTGCTGAGTTTCGTTGTTCGTCGCCAAAGCTCGGCCAACCGCAATGGTTGGGTAGCAGGCATGAAGCAGGATGAAGCAGGTGCAACAAGCGGCTGCTGTGAGTGCTCCGGGCAATGCCACGCGTGGGTCGGCATGACGCGTACAATTGGTTTTAATTTTCACAGGTAGGTCGCTTTTCGTGCGGCCCGTTTGGGAGGGACAAACGGTCAGACTTGACTTGATAGCATTTTTTCTAGCACGCCATCTTTGAGGTGCGTGCAATGCGACCGTACAGTGTAAACCAGCGTATGGCTCGTAGCGGGTGACATGTAAAATTTCCGAAGAATCAATATTCATTGGTATGGAAACCAGAAGCACTGTTAGTTGATGGCATGGCTGTGCTGCCGAAAGGGCCACCCTCGGCAGGAGCCACAGCTTGGACTCGCTTTTTCGAAACAGACTTCTCAGATTCATCCAAGGTCGATAGAGCTGCGAAGCGTTCCCGTTCCCCGCTATGGCCTTTCAGGATTTCAGTTGTTCATGGTGCTTCAACTTCCCGGGCATGTTGAAGAGAAGCGGCATTGCCACAAGTTGGACCAGGTCCGATCGATACATCATCCCGCGGCTGTCTCTGCCCCTCCCTCGGGCACCTTTGAAGTGATTTTCAAACGACCGCTGGAGTTGCGATCAGTGCTGCTCGCCACGCAAACCGTAGTGGGTGAGGCAAAACAATGATGCTGATGGGGAGGCTTCGCCCAGGCTACAAAGGGGTTGGGCCAGCCTGCTGCATAGCTACATAGAGCCACATTTGATCATGCAGTGGCCCAGGGCACCGTTGTCACCACGCCCGGAGCCAAGACAAGTCAGAGTGCGACGTGTCCATGTTACGATCCCCACCTAGGTGGAAATGTGCCAGTTGCTCCTTATGCAGCTCTTGCGTCACCACAGCCCTTCGTAGATGTGACGAAGAAGTTGCTCGCTTCACAAGCGCGATTGTCATGACGATGGTTCAATTTGTCCGCAATGAGGCTTCCAGAGAAGATCTCTCCTCGATTTGGTGTTCCACGGGACCACTTGCTTGCTTTTCCTAGTCCTACATGTCCTGTGTTCCATGATGATGGCCGTCACTACACAGGATGAAAACAACCCAGAAGGTGGAAGGAACAGCGTGCCCAGGCAGCTGCTGCCATTGTTGGTGCACTTGGTCAGGGGTGTTGTGTGCACATTCGAGGTTGAGTGGAGGCAAGCGAGGTTGGAAGTTTAGCTGTCGCATCCAGGGGACACGTGTCAGAAAGAGGCATTGCCTCCCTGGTGCGTGGAAGGCGGTTCATGCTTGACAGCACGATCTTCTAGCACTGGCAAGCTGAACAGTGCTGGCATCCCAGGACCTGAGCATGCCTTCCTTCAGTCCTTTACTACTACCTGCCCAGGCTCTTCGAGAGTCATCATGTGGTTCTGCAACTTGCCTCCGAAGAGACTTCTCGTCAATCCTGTCAGATTTGCTTCTGCAATCTAAGGCGAGGAGCAAAATACGAGAACGCAGGCCGAACCCTTTATTGAGCAACAGTCCTCCAGCCCGTCACTCGGATACAACTCGATGCGACATGTGTGAAGCAGAAATTGTCCATGTCGGCCTGAGGCTCGCTCAGCTGCTGCCGCGCGGATGCCACAGTTTCGGGAGTGAGTTTGGGGTCGCAGTGAATGCATTCTGGCTAACGGTTCCTGTGGCCTTCGACCAAGGCCCCAGGCCGGTTCACCAAGCAGGGCAAATCAAAGTGGCTTGATTGCGTTTGTTTTGTTGTTGTTGCCTTGTTCTGGATGGGCTTTTCCGAAGAAGCATGTGCCGAGGTAGTCGTTTGAGTTGCGACAGCTCGTCGAGCTCTAGCCTTCACAGTGGTCCTGCCCTCGCGAGGAGTCTGCTCGATTCGTGGTGCAATTGACAAGTTGTTCCAGCAAAGGTCCGTCACTTGTCGGTGAGAACGTGTCGAGCGCAACAAGATCTACTAGATCTGTCGCCGTGACGACGGAAGCTTATTTGCTGCAGAGGGGCTGTCCAGCACCATGCGAGTCAAATTCAGTACCCGAGTGGCTGCACAGTTTCAGGATGAGAGCTTCTTTCCTGAAACCGGAGCCTAAGGCCGAAACACTCTAAAAACGAGGTGTTTGCAGGTACGGAAGCCTCCCGACCCTGCATATTGTCAGGGCGACTTGAAGAACCCCAAACTCATACGAGATTTCGACCCTTTCCTTCCCTGTGCCTTTTACAATGCTTTTCATCGCCCGTTGTACCGTACTATTTTTTGCGCTGTGATGCTCCCTCCTTTGGGATCCTGCCCTTACCCTGTCTGCACTGCCCTTGCTTCCGCGTGCTTTGGATTCTTGCTGTGGGAATGCCTTTGCTATGCCCTGACCCGTTGTGATGGGTGTCTGGATGTATGACTGATGTATGAGAATGCGCAGTCGTGACAGCACCATCGCCAAAAGTTGAAAGGGGAACCCGATGAATCCAGACAGAAGCCTCGTTTTTGATTTGCGATGGGTGGTTTTGCCATGTTTTGCCCATAGCTGGCCCAGACCTTGTGCCAGTACAACATCCCTCATCGTGTTCGGCGCCCAGATGTGTCATGAGCGATCCCTTTGCATTTGGCTTTTTGGGCAGCTGCTACCGTACTGGGCTGCGTGTTGGCTGTGGCTGGTGACGTTTGGTGGGACAGGCCATATGCCGGTCACCGGCCGATACCGGCTGGAAGCAGTGCCAACATCTTAGCTGTCGCAACCATGCCCTCAGACAATTCGTGCATCTTTGCGCGCGGTCTTAGAGGCCATGGCTGCTCACAGCGTGGGGGCTGCAGGCCATGTTGCTCTGCTTTCTTGCTTGCATGGTTTGAAGTAGTCATGCTGCAAGTTGCTTCAAGCTTCTCCCTATCATTTCATGTGAGACCGGCTCTTGCAGCAAGGCAGTCTGTGTGTGAGATTCCATCGCATACCACGTCATGTCTTTAATGTACTGCTTAGTATCAGCTCGTGGCAGTCACCCGGGAGCTTCAAGCAAGAGTGCGAGTAGTGCAACCGAGCGGAACCTTCGAATCATGTCTCCGCCGAGGTTGCCGGATGCTGTCCAGGCATGAGCACGATCAAACAACTAGCCTGTGAATAACGATGATGCTGTGATGGTGCAGAATCGCGAGATGTGCTGAGCACAAAGGCTGTGGGCAAGTCGCTGGGGCGCAGCTGGGCCGATGTCCAGCCTTTCCTCAAGATCTTGGAGGAAAACTGGTACGACTCCATGGAGAGCTTAAGGCACTTGAAACTGCCTCAACCATGGAGGATTGGCCATGTCAGTGTCCTTCCAGCTGGACCCTTCGATTTCTACGTTCCCATTTGGACCATTCTCAACCCTTTAATCACAGGAGGGCTCAAGGCGAAGGATGGGACAACGTCAGCAGGACAGTGTAACAGGACAAAAATGCCTGCTCTCGAAGCCTTTCGGCAATGAACTTGGGCATGAATGGCTCACTCTAAGAATGCTGCACTCAGGGGGCTCTGTGTTGGATGTCTGCGTGGGTTTTCCACATCCGCGCCGGCGCTGCTCGCTCAATTTTGCCAGGTCCGTGGGGGTATCTGACCTACAAGCCCTGGGGCTGCCGCAGAGGTTTGCCAAGGATGCAAGAAATGCTCAGCAACAAACGGTGAAAGTAGAGAGAGGAGGGCGGAGGGCCCCGGGGTCTTCACAGGAGCTCCTGCAGCTTTCAGAGACCGATTCGGTGCCGCACGAGAAGGGCAAGGGTGGCAAGGGCGGCAAGGGCAAGAGAGAACATGGAGATCGCGATGAGAGCTTTGGCTTCGCATTTTGTCTTGCAGAGGCACTGCCCTGGAGTTCCGGTGGCGTTGCAAACCTGACGTTTTCACTTAATATGTTGTGCCCATGAAACTTTGCACACTGGAAGAGCTGCCGATGTCGACATTCAATCGCTCGCAAGGAGTGGCAAAGGCAAGCACTTCGCAGCAGTGGGTTACGATGCACAAGGCTGCGCCATGCCATGCCGTGCCATTTTGGATCGTTCCTTTCTGCCCCCCTGCTGATTTTGAAACACAGATGGATATATACATCAGAGAACCGTTTCTTCAAGCTATGCTTGGTCAGGTGGCCCGAAGGGCAAGAGAGACAGCTCTTCGGACAAAGGCAAGGGCAAGGGCAAAGACGCCAACGACAGCAAGGGCGCGAAAGGCAATAAAGGCACCAAAGGCAAGAGCAAGGAGCCTGGTTGAAAGGGAAGTGCATTAAGCGTCCTGCGCTCCTGCTACCGTGACACCAGCAGAGTATTTCGTTTAGGCCAGTTCATTGGGAAGAGCCTACGGCCGTAGCGCATCTCATGAGGGTGACATTGTGACAACCGTCTCGAGAATCGCGTCTATTAAGATCGTGGTCTTCCCGAGCAACGTAGTTCACGGAGTATCCGTCTCGAGCATCGACCAAGTTAAGGGGCGATGCGCTGGACGTTGTGGCAGCTGTCTTGACGTGAGGCCTTCCTCTCCCTCCTCTTGTCTGATCTCACCCCCGGATGCAGGACCCAAGTAACAACCCGTGGCACCTGAAGGCGGTTTCCAACCGCCAGCAACCTCTCCATACACTGCACCAGAATGCACCAGTCAAGTCGTCGAAAGTAAGGCGCAGCGATGCGGGACCTACATAGCATGCACACAAAAACAAACACACACACAGACATACATACATACATACATACATACATACATACATACATACATACATACATACACACACACACACACTCCAGTGTTTCTAAGCAAACTTCTGTCTTGGGTGCTTTCGACGAGGACCCTCCGCAGGACCAGCAAAGCGACGAGAACGTGCAAGTGCACAAGATCACCTTGGAAGCGGAACAACTGGACCCGCGGTTTCCATTAGTTGCAAAGCTCATAGGCAAAGGCAGGCGGTCAAAAACAAAGACGTGAACATAGTGCCTTGAGAGATGTTTGTGCAGCTGGAAGGTGGCCGCAATGTGAAGCACATCAGCAGCACCACAGGCGCCGCCGTGTGGCTGCGTGGCCGCGGATCAGGGTCCAAGGGCGAGAATGCTGGCGAGGATGCGGACGAGCCGCTTCACATTGCAATAAGATCCGATGACAAGGACAAACTGCTGTGTTGAGCTGCTCGTGGTGGTACAGTAGAAGTAGCATCATGCGAGATGATACGCAGCATTGGACGTGATAGCATACCACGTCTGCATGGTGTGTGAAATCGGCGCCGTGTTTTGTATTGCCGACATGATTGCCACACCCAAGCATCCGCCGAAATCAGAGATGTCTTTTCCAAATGAGTGGGTTCCTTTTGGCACAACATAAAGCTGTCAGCCAGTTCCTCGCAGTGACCTGATTTACGAGAAAACACAAGCTGACTGTCGCGAAAGGAGGAGATCTAAGTTTGAGTTCTCGTGGCACCCTGGGACCTGGAACAGGAATCCAAGCTTCCAGGCCGCAGCAGCGGCAGCAGCGGCAACAACAACCACCACTGCAGCAGCAGCAGCAGCAGCAGCAGCAGCAGCAGACGAGCAAGTTTGCTCTTCCTTCCACCGCCACGAGAAAGACGACTACAACTCGCATTGCCATTGTTCTCTGCAAAGCCGCAGACCAGGAAGGAAGAGCGATGCGCTACTTGAGTGAGACAGCTACCAGGTTGCGCACTTTCGTGCGAAGCGAGGCCCGCGAATCTTTCTGTCGGAGGTTGGCCCTGCAGAGAACTTCTCAGGACAATCGGCTTGCACAATGCAAGCGCAACGTAGCATGAACCAGCAAAACGTTTCATTTAGCAAGATGCGAAACGAGTCGTCGCAGATGCTTGAGCAACTTTGATATTTGTTTCTCCGCTCGCCACAGCAGTCTTGACGAGTGTGCCCGGAACCAACGCAAACGCACCATCCCAATCACAGCGCACGTCATCCGTTGTTTGCGGCTAGCCGAAAACAGGGCAATGCTTTGCAGTGGATGTGCTTGAGTTGGCGAGTGCTTGCATCGACCTTTCGTAGACTTGCGCAGGAAGCCATCGATGAAGCTGTCAGCATAACACATGACCTCATCGACACAGTCATGGAGGAGTACAACCAATGGTTAGAAAGCCCAGAGGCCGCGCAACCACAAGCGACCGAAGGCTCGAGCTACTGATCTGCATTCTCGAGTACCGATTAGTGCTGCATAGCGATACTAAACTGACGGAGTTGACATTTCCAAAGTATCTGTGCCACGAATGCATCCAGCATCTGTCCCGCCACATGTTGGCAGTTGCTCCGTCGTAGGAGTGCGCTCTGATATTGAACACTGACTCTGTTCGTGAAGCAGGCTACGCAATAGTTTGCCTGTAGCAGTGCTCTTGACCGCGCTTCCAAAACTTGCTTTGCTGCAAAGAAGCGTTTTAGGTTGTGATCCAATCAGACACGCATGTTCAGAGCATCCCGGCTTGGACAGCAGCTTCGGATAAGACTCCTGTGCGTCTGAAGAGAAAAGTGGAGGAATTGCCATGAACATCCGACAGTGGGTCATGGATCCGCCAGGGATCCGGCTTCGGAGGAGAGACTCCATTCGGCTTCCAACACGACTGAGCCGACTCTCGCTGGGAAGCCTTCTTTTCTTCCCGACAACTAAACAGACTTAATCGCAGAGCGCAGAAGCACGGCCACACGCGACAAAGGCATCTCACGAATAAAGCACCTAGTCCGGGTTTGTCGTGGAACCCTTCCCGATTCCCAACCTTGGATTTCTTGCAAGATTGTGGCAAACCGAGGCTATCAATGGCAACAGAAGTGGCAGCAAAGAGACTGGCCTGATCAGAGCAAGGGCAAGGGCAAGAGCAAGGGCAAGGGCAAGGGCAAGGGCAAAAAAGGCAGCCGTGAATGGGGCGATTGGGATTGGTCAAGTCCTGCCGCGAAGCGAGCAAGATATTCGTACTAGCTTGCATAGGTCTGGAGACACAAGTAATCCGAGATGCTTGGCTTCCAAAGCTGTCTTCTAAGAAAGGGTAGGCAGAGTGTAGATTTTTGTAGATGGCAATAGACAGCAACCGCCGAGACATCCTGAGTTACAGTCTTTCAACCTGCCAATGCAGCAGCGTGGAATGGCCTTCGCGCAGAAGGCGTGGTGGAAACTGCCAAGCGAGCAGAGCCGTTACCATCCCGGCAGCATGTCCCGGAGTTTATGCTCCGCTGGATGACTGCAGAAGGAAAGTCGCCTTGTTGTCCAGGCGCTCAACACCTGAGCGAGTGACTTTACGATTTCATCGTGTGCAACAGCGGCTGTCAACCTTTAGGGTCATTCGGTAACGAGAATGCTTCTTGAAAATTCAGGAACAATCGCGGTGCTGTGGTGCTGTGCAGTTGAAGACATCTCTGGACGGGTCGGTTCCTACACTGCAGATCCAAGCGTGGCAAGTGTCAGGAGGGAGCCTCAGATGGCGGTGCACGGCATGCTCAAGCAATCTCAAACCTAGCCAACCATGTTTTATGAGGTCAGTCGCAGAAGGTTCGTGCCTTGCTGATCTCTGCATGCGCATGCTCTCCAATTCTATTTATTTACTTGAGCCACAGGCCAGCGGAGCTCCGGTCCGCTCAGCACAGGGAGCGAGGATTGCCATGCTCCAGACTGAGCAGAAGCGAACGCGGGGACGTTTAACATGAGCTTGTATCAGAAGGTTGCTAGAAGCCAGCTGCTGGGTGGACCCAGCGGAGCTCGGCACTCAAAGATAAGTTTGCCCACGAAGTTGACAGAGACTTCCTGGATTCCTGCTTGCTAGACGGATGCAGACGCAGATGCGGAGACGCCACCCGCTGAGCTTTCTGCTTCTGTGTATTCCAAGTTGACACGTGATGTCTTGGCAGGATGGGCGACCATGTAGAACTGCTCTGCCTCAAGGTGCGAGGTTTGACTGCAACCGTCACTCCCCCGAACATGGAGAGCTGTCAGGTCGAGCTCTCTCTCTCTCTGGCTTTCGCTCGCTCTCGTCAGGCACAGTCTTTGGTTCGCCAGTTGGGCACTGCCCGTGCCTTAGATTGTAATCGCGACGGTTTTCAGGGGACCTGAAAGACTTACTGCGTCCTGCCAGGGAATGATGGAGCCTTCCCAGTCGGTCCGTGCTGACCTCACCTGTCTAAACGGCCCTAGCTTTCCAGGCTTAAACCTCGGCACCGTTGCTGCATGCGAGCAGCTCCGAGCACGAAATCCTAGGATCTTTGCAGAAGAAGCTTATGTTGCTCGGCCAGGCCGCGGAGGTGGGCTGTGTGTTCAGCTGCATATGTACCTATTCATGCTGGCCGAGCAAATATCATTGACATTCTTCGCTCGCTTATCAAATCGCATTGCAGGTGACGCCTGCCGCGCCTCCGTTCACGCGGTCTCCCTAGTTCCGCTAAGCCAGCGCGACCGCAGACTGGACCGAGACGAGTGCATCCTGTAGGCCGAGATGCATTGGCGGTCCACTCGAACCCGCCGGGACAGGCGAGGAAGACAGCATCCATCGGCTGTCGCTCGTCGCTGTCGTCACCAGCTAGACCGGCAGTATCTTGTCTGTCCAAGCTGAGGTGATGCATCTTCCATGGACCTCAAGTTCAGCCCTGCTCCAGTCTGGCACTGAAGTGAGCTTTAAACTTTAAACAATCTTAAACACCCGCGATGTCTGATTGTGTGCATGGTCATCGACGCGGGCCCGAGACAGGTAAGGATAGAGCAAAGGGAGCGCCCAAAGTGGCAGCTCCCCTTCTCGGCGAGCACTTTCTGGTTTCTTCACATGCCTGTCGTGCCGCATGATAAAGGTGCCATTCTGTGTGGTGGTGTGGCTTTTGCTAGCTTCCGTGAGTTGGCTGATAATTCATTAGAAGATTGTCTTTCTCAAAGGTGCGAGGCAACAACCGGTGGTCTTCGAAGGGAGTCGGACAAGGCCTAATTCGCTGAACAGGAATTGGGCAGCGCGTGGATTTCGTGCCGCCTCGGTGCACAGGTTCAGACCTGCGATGTCTTACTTTCTCAACAGTGCACCCACGCGTTTGCAGGCCGCTTCCGCCTCGCTGCAATAGTGCACCGATACCAACGCTGCAGGAAAAGGGTCGACACAGGCTGGTCGGGAACACTGCAGCCAGGGCATGCGATTCAACTGCCGTTTGGCCGTACTTGCTGTTTGATTTAGGGCAAAAGTGGGCACGCAGCAATGCGATTCTTGGATTGTTTTTTTTTTTTCGTTTTTTGATTGTTTGAATGTACATGTCTCTAAGTTTCGAGCCGGAGAAATACGAATTGTGTTCCCAAGCGCCGCTGAGCCATGGGGCCATGACTCCCCATACTGGTTGTTAACTGGTGCTGGCTTGGTACTACAAGGAGGGTCGAACCAGTAAAGATACATGAGCTGAAGGACCAAGCACAAAAAACAGGACCAGAAACTTCAAATCAGGTGGAACTCGTGTACCAGATTATCTGTGATTTCCTATCTCCTGCATGGTGGCTCGCAGGTCGCCGTCGGCTTAAGGTTTTGTGGTCAAGTTTAGAGCGGGTGTGGCAGTGTTATGCTCACAAGACGACCCTATGTCAGAGGATCATGAGCGGGTAGATAGAGTTGGCTTCAATTGAAACTGCCACAATGATTGGTCATGCTGTCTTTTCGAACAAGCAGCCCCACTTTCTCTAGGAGTCTGCGAGCGTTGGCGCCCCGACGCTTTTAGGACAAAAAAACGAAAGCACTGGCCTGCGCGGAAAATTATGCCTGTAGCCTTAAAAGACGGGCTTTCAGAAAGAAAACAAGTAGGTTGGCATTACGCAGCTTTGAGCTGGGAGGCAGCTTGATTGTTCCGACTTCTTTTGAGCGCGAGTCCCCGTCGGTGATTTCGGCAGCGCGCTGCCCGAGACCAGGCAGCATGAAAAAAAGCAGTGGTGTTTGGAGCTCCAGCTTTTCGGATCTTTGAAGTGTGGGCTTGCACTCATCTTAAGAATAGGGCTTCCGACGGAAGACGGCAGCCCGCAGTGCACAGCAAAATCACGACAGAGAGAGTAGCTGCCAGCCAGCAGAAGCCTACATGGAATGGAGTTAGACCCAACAGGGGCTGAGGACGCGTCGGAAGCTGAGGACGAGTTGGAGAGTCGCAATCATGCCCCCCCTCCCCTCGTCCTAATCCCTCTGCAAACCTCTACGAAGCATCCCAAATTTTGAGTAGCGTTTGCTTATTTCCGTCTCTTGGCGGAAGACTACAGCTGGGCACGAAACTTTCACTCGATTTGGAAATCTCTCTGGGACTGTGTGCTGACTGTGTGTGCGGAAGGACACTCAAGGCGTTGCCTCTCCGGAAGGGTGCGGAAGCACGAAGAATACATCTGCAGCAGGAATGCTCCCGTAGAACAGAAAGGAGGTAGCGTAATACGTCAAGAGGGGTGTATGCTCTTGCGGAAGGGTTTGCTTGCAAAACGGTCCGTGGAAGGGCACACGGAGGGGACGACATGCAGTGACTCAGAAACGTGCCGATGCTTCGAGGCGCGGAAGGCTGAAGCAGTGGCGGAAGGGTTGTGCGGAAGGGGTTTTTGCGTCCTTGGCATTGAAACAGGACAAAAAGCACAGCTCAAATAACTTGAAAAGTGGAGGCATACCCTGAAAAGTGGAAGAAAGTGCAGTGGTGTGAAGAAACGAAGTGAATGTGGCCTGTATATAGGGCACGCTTGATGCTTTGGAGGTGGTGGTCCCCAGCTGTGTGGGCCCTAGAGTGCTTCGTGTTGAACATGATAGTTTTCTGGTTTCCTCGTGCCTTGCTTCCCAGCTGTGGACGCATGAAAACAGCTTTGGTGCCTCCCTGCGTCTTCCCAAGCCAAAGTTCCGAAAGGCACAAGTATTGCCCATTACAACGAAATACGGGTAGGGCATGCGAGTCAAGGGGCAGGGCAGCAAGAAGCACAGGGCGGTCCACGTGGAGTCCGTGCGTCAGAAAACATTGAAGAACTTTTTCTGCTGATGAGTGGTACCGAGTACCACGCTGGGCTGTACTGCTCCACTTTCACGAGACTCCGCTGCAACGGAATCCACTGCGGACCACTGCCGAAGCAAACCCGTAAGGACTTGTTTGCTTGAAAGAAGTGCAGAAGGTGCAGACGAACCAGGGGACGGTTCTCTCCGCGAGGTGATTGGGTAAGGACACGGCGGTCCTTTACACGGAGAGCAGCTCGAGCATCCTTGCCGTATAAATCAGGGACGGGAAGTGCAACTTCGAACCGCGACATTCGGACGGTGTCTTCACCAACGTACTGCTGAAGGGATCTGCCGAATCCGGCTACCTTGTCCTCCCGCGAGCCGACGGAACTACCTGTCCCTGTTGGTAAACGGCTAGGCTAGGACGCAGAACTGCAGCTGGACGAGGACATGTCAGGCTTTCACTGGCCGACAGCGAAACGCCCTCACAGTCGAAGGACACGAAATACAGTCAACTTTGAAACTTCCAGGCACTTGTCGCCCAATCCCAATTCCCACAACGGCTCGAGTAAGATGCAGGTGGCAGCCAAAAGCAGCACAAACTCCCAAGCTGCGCCTACAGCGGGGTTATATGTATGATGGAGCCCAGCCATGAGAACGAGACGTTTCACATCCCACCCAAGCAGGCACATGCAAGAAGTGCCGCGGCTGCAAGGAGGAAGCAGAAAACGCGGGGAAGACTGGACAGCTGCAGTGCAAAGCGCCAGTGCTCAACCTGCCGGAGATGCCACATCAGAAGCTCCTACTGACGAAGTTGGAGGGCGGGTGGGAAGATGAGTCGATGCTTGTCGCTCAAAATCATGAAGTGATGCGTAGGACAAACCGGATGCTGTGGAGGCGGCGGTCCAAACCCAGTCCTGAGTTCTAAATTGTTTGGAACACAAGAATGTGCATTGTTGAAGACAGGTTTCGCTTTCCTGATCAACCATCCATGAATTCAATTAGTGGGTGAAAGGTGCAGTGCGCAATGCGACATGCCGGCACTAGAATGGCCGGTGCAGAAAATTATCGAGATGCTGCACCAAGATAAAAGAACAGTAGCTCCTGCCGATGAAGTTCAAAGACCGGCGGGAAGCTGAGTGGATGTCAAGGCGTCTTGCCCAGCTTCTTTTTGTTGTTGTGAAAGCAGTTCAAAGGGACTACGCCTTCTACCAACCGGAGGAAGGCTCCCACAACTACTCCTCACGACCAGGTCTGACTCCCTCCCCTTTCTCCTTTCCCCTCTCCCCTCCTCGCCCCTCCTCTTCCTCCTCTCCCCTCCTGTCCCCTCTCCCCTCTCTCCTTCCCCTCCTTCTCTCCTTGTCTTGCCGGTCTCCCCTCTCCCCTCCTCTTCTCTCCTCTCCCCTCTCCCCTCCCTCATCCTCTCCCCTCCTCCCCTCCTCCCCTCCT